TACGTAGAATAAGTGATGAATTGAGATTATTGTTATGATGCTGTGGCACATCTGTGGAGATGAATCTACGAACCTCCGGCCTGAACCTCACTCCTACGTTTAATTACCAGAACAAGCCACAATTTCACACCCCCAATTCAAGCTCCTGTGGAAACCCTTATCTGGGACTCGGATTCACGTCAGATCCAATGACCCAAGAACAAATCGCTCGAACAATGGAAAGGAGAAGACCGAATTAGGTGCAAACTCGTCGCTCTGCTTAACTTTAAATGCTTGTTTCTTTTGTGGGGCTGTGTTTCAGCATATTATTGATTTACATCAGGTATCAGTGTCAGTAAATATTACTTAAAAACGGTTTTTAAAAAAAATTGTTTTTTGTGGAAAATAATACCACGGCAACAATGCCGTCATACCCTTAATCCCATTGCCTAATTACGCAAATTCCTGAATCGGTCGCAGTAAAAGTATTCAAACACACCTTAGAAGACAACAACACTGTGCAAATGGAATAAACTCACACTGAGTCATCCCACCCAAGTCACTCTTCAACTGTCATAACATCCACGAGACCCATTTTATTTGTGCACAGTATGGTTTTAACACGCACCTGATGGCCATGAATTCCACCAATCGTGAAATACGCGCCTTTACTTGTCCGATGCACTGTTAATCAGTATTCAGTGGTGCGTAATCATCGACTGACGCATGTTACTCATTCCACCTTCATTTGTCTGCCTTGGTCGTCTACGTTGATCTTACTGTTTTCGCCTACGACTGAATAACTCACATCGAAATTGCCCACCGGTGTTCACTCTACTAAGTTTGAATTGGTCATCGACGAATTGCCCTACTTACCACTGGATTCGTCGTCATTATTCCTGTCCACAACCCAATGAACGAAGATAACAGCCACCTCAGCAAATCATGTTTTGTTTCTCCACCAATTAAGAGTCTGGTGTTACAATGAATGCATACAATTTTAACAAGTGTGATGAAAGTAATTCTGTCAACACAAAACATGTCTTTGATTAGCCACCCACTTCTCCACGTGTCCTAGCGCGCCTAATTTCGTCGATACTTCTGCTTGGTGTTCAAGCAGAGCTTGTACTTCTCAACATGGTGCCTGAAAACGCCTTTTAAGCCATTGGAACTGAATTCGTGACAGTCACCTTCGCGCACAAAGCAACAAAATGCCACTGGCCAGAAGGATGCTGCCATGTCGACATGTCATTATCTTCAATGGAACATCTCCCAGGTCTCCGGGAGTCAACACTATCATCTGGGGAAATGACTCACCAGTGCCCCAAGTGTTGTACATACTAGTCACTATTAGCAGTTAAATGCGTCACCCAAGGTACAATTTGTGGTTGATACGGCGGTAACCAATTAAATATTGGTCTGACTGCAGATTGCAGTCGTGCTTTTATACGGAATTCCAGCGGTGCTGTTGAATTACCCACCAATCACTATTGATAGTACTTTACACCGGTTTATGAAAAGCACGACAGACCACTCTACGTGTTAATCGGAAGTTTCATATTTACTCATCTCAATTTCCTTTTGCAGTGTATATTGGTGTTTTGACAGAAATAATTTTGTGCAGTCATTGTGGTGCGATATATTTGCATCAAGAAAACTCCCCCAAGGGCATCCGACATTTTCTGACGGACCCGACTACATTGCATATAGGTCAAAAGATTGCCAAAGATTAGGAGAAAAATGAGGATTTACCTATTTTTTAAAACTCATTTGACAGAACCAGATTGGACTTAGACGTATGCCTAAAGTGTAGAATGGAGAAGACTAGAAAAAATAACCAATAGTCGACCAAAAACCAGACAAATATAGAAATATAGAAAACCGAAGTCGTCAGGCCAGTTTGGCAGATCGCTATCCTCAGCCTTTCGAAAACTTTTAAACTACATTCATTTTGTTTTACTAATTTCGGCCAAATGCGGTTTTTAAGCTCTGCGGTGCCCAGTCCTTTTGAAAGCTTAGATTCCAAGGAGCTGAACGAAAAATTGATTGCTTCAACCTATTATTCTGCATCGTGCTCAGTCTCCTAGTGTCGAATAAACTAAAGATATGCCAAATTTTTAGGGGACATATACAATGAGACTAAATGACAATGCAAAATTCTGGGTTTTACTATACTGGTTTCGTTGGAACTACCCACTATCAGTAAGTGTCTATATTTGTTGCTTACATTAGCTGTTTCCTCTACTTATTGGCGCAATAGTTGCCGTTCAGGGTAACTTGAATGCATTGTTTAACATTCCGGATTGTGTTTGTTGTTGCTCGATCCAGGCGGGTCTGTTTGTTAGTGTTTAAGCTGCTGTTATTTAGAGACATTATTTATAAAATCATTCAAATGATGTCAATTTGTTGCCTTCTTCTGCACATTTTAGTAACTAAATAAAGCCGTGACTTCTCACAATATGACCCCTAATGTACACAACTCTGGTCGCTCGACATTCCAACTTGCGACAACCTGGTCTGGTGTATCATCCAGATGAGATTCATAATTATTATCACGCAGGTTCGATTAGCATTTGATCTGGCGTTATAATTTCTACCAGTTGCTAACTATCCGCAACGTTTTACAAAACTCCGGACGCGATTAAATTGGTAGACTGAAGGACAAAAATGTGATAATTATAAATACCCAGGTCGTCCTGTTGATTTTCGAAAAAATCCATAATCGTCTGTCAACAGTCCCGACTTTTCGGACGAAAATCGCTAAGGTATTTGCATAGTTTACAGTAAACTGCCTCCGACTCCACCGCAAGCAAAACACTTGTGAGGCTTTTCATAGAAGAGCTTTAAACTGGATTATTAGGAATTGGCAATGCAGTACTCCCAGAATACCTATTCCAGACGGTACAGGAGAGAACAAATGGCGGTTTCTTTTAGTTCAGCCCTTACGTATTCGCACTCATTTACAGGCAATTTTTTGTCTCAACTGTGCGCAGGCACTAATAGTGGTAGAGTAGCCGGAATGTGCAAAAAACATAATGCTACATTTGGTGACGCCAACTTGATTCAGTCAAAGTCGCCACACAAACACTCTAACTCATGGATGCTGTCAGAAAAAAAAACAGAGGATGGCGTTTCGGCCTACGACGAATCCACCCTACAATTACCACCTTGCATTTTAGCTTGACGGTGCAACAGAAATATGTAACTCAGTTATATCACAAATGTACTATTAATGAATTAATATCATAAGGTTCACATTTCTCTTTATTTCGAGGATGTTTGTTTTCAAACTGCGTGTGAAAATACCCCAAATTATTGGCCAAGACTGTGATTTATCTGAGCCCCATTATAAAAAGGCCGGCTTAATGAGGCGGGCTGTAATGAAGTCCCACAAGCCAGAACCATACGCCAGGTGCCGGCAACCCAAGTGAACTACACTGGCTTCACCAAACATTATAATATGTAAACTGCTCTCTGATTGGCTGTTGATCTTCCTCACGGGCCATTTAAAGTATTCAGACAGGAGATTGACTAAGTCCAGCATAACAAAATATGGCTGCGTTCAATATCGGTACGGGAACACTGATTCACGTCCAATTTGACTGCAAAGGCAGCACGAAGTGGCCTTAATCAAATTGGAAAATCGAGAAATAAAGCAATGGCTGAAGTGTTTCGCAAGAGACATGCAATGGTTGATTTATGGAAAAAAATATTAGTTTTGGCTAGCATATTATGGAGCCTGAATCATCAAAATGAATATCGCAAATTGATTTGATTAATGTACTTTTAAATTGTAAGCTACTTCCCTTCTTTTCCTTCTCTAATTTCTCGTGTGTACAAATATCACGAACAACAATGCGGCGGTGGTGCCCGAAGGCACAACACGACACATTTTTTTCTTCGAATAAATTTTATCATTTCTAGCACTACTTAGTTCATATAGATTCCGGCCCTACTATTATTACTATGATAAGACGGTTTAGACGAGTGAGGTAATTACGTTTGTTTCCCTTTAGATGAGATTATGACATCACTACAAGTTCATTAGTAGTTAATGGATGAATGCAGCTATACTTATTAAAATAATTGCACAAATGCCTCATTTTGTATTATAGAAGGGAGCTTAAACAGTGCTTCAAAAGGAGAAGTTGACAAGGTAAAATTTACATCGGTAACTTCAATATAAACGCAGTGAAAGCAGAAAATTAACACATCATTTAAAATTTGTAAAGCACTTAATAAAAAGTTACACAACAACTGGTTTACTGATTATATCTTAACGAAAGCTTCGACAAATATTATATTTGAATGTAATAATTTTGAACTAGTTATTAATCAAAATAAATATCAAAAAGTGCGATACACAACTAGGGTTTTCAAGAAAGATACAAAATCTGAAGTGTTAAGGTACTCAACCGGAACCCATTAGAAATAGAAATCTAATCTGTAGCGACGATAGTTCTTAGTCAAATTTTCTGCACTCTGAAATGGTGATGAATACCTAAGAAGGTATTCTGAAAATAAATACAATACGTATGTGCAATATAAGAAAGCCCATTATTTTTTAGAATAAAATTTTAAAACTACACTTATTGTAAAATTAAATTTATCGTTCCAAACCTAATAATAACGAAACAATTAATCAATCGTTCATTTAAAGGGGCTTCCTAATTAGGTTCGTTATATTTCTGAATACCCACAACTTAGATTGCGCACCTTTAATCGGATTCAAACAATAATGCTAACGCTAATCTGCTCTTACTTAAAAGTAAACAGGTTTTCACAGTTCGGTCAGCTGGAAGTCGAAAAATTATTTTACTTGCAAGTTAATATTCCTTCCCAAAATTAACTCTTACAAACGTTTTTAAAACGTTCAAATCCTTATTTTTTATTCAAAAGCTCCTTAATTATAAAATGTGTTTAATCGTTAAAAAACATAATTTTAATAAAATGGTGTTTAACCCGAAATCAAGTATTGTTTAAATTATTGGAGGAACGCCATTTTGTTTTCGCTTGCTATCATGGACGGTTGTTCGCAAATGCATGGTCATCGTTGTCGTTCAAACAGTAACCACAGGTGTTGTTACGACTTCCGCTTCCGTGCTGGGAGTGCACATGACGTGTCAGATTCCTCAAAGTCGTATTCTCTCAGTTCCTCCGTTTCCTCGAATAAAAAGCGGAAATATTCTTCTTCCGATTCTAAAAATGATTCCTCCGGCTATGGTTGTTCCCAGCCAAATAAACGTGAATGTGAAAAGTTGTCGAAAAGGTACATTGTGTGGATCTTGTTTTTGCACAATACATCTTTCATTGATCATTTGTTCTAAATTTTCTCCAAATGTAGCCAGGTGCGCGTAGGTGCATCAAGTTGCCTAGAAAGGTACTTTCATGGGTTTCCATAATTCAGGTTGCAGTTCTTTTAATACAAGTAACAATTTTTAAATTTTCTGAAATGTTGTGGTTTTTGTCCCTGTTGGTACAGGCACAGACCTAGCTCGCGGGCTTTATCTCCCCGTAAGTGCCGACGGCTTGGTGCTGCGGTAATAAATGGCAGGGACAACCACCTCGCTGATGCTAACGCTTCAAGTCCGGTTGTTCGTTTCCTAAACGGTGGCCCTGAGTCCCATGGGTCGGTTGAGAGATTCCGCGATCGCGACCGGAGCATTAGTCACGGGCATGATTTCTCGAAGTCTTCGGTATACAAAAGAAAACATGGCGATTCCAGTCATCGTTCTACAAGTCATCCGAGTCACAAGCGCAAACGCCAGCGCCGAAGCAAAGAGAGGGCCAAGCGCAAAGAAAGCCACGAGCACCACAAACGAGACAAGACACAGGCAGTCGTTCCGGTCGGGGAGGTCATCAAGCGCCGATTCGAGGTGCGTAAGGTCCTAGGCGAGGGCAGCTTCGGCCAGGTTCTCGAGTGTCTCGATCTTCACACACAGTCGCGCGTTGCAGTTAAGGCATTGAAAAGGCTGGAAGACTACCAGGAAGCAGCGAAACACGAGGTGGATGTTCTTGATGCAATTTCTAAGGCTGACCGTAGTTTACGTTCTAATTGCATTGAAACTATTGACTTTTTTGAATGGCATAGGCATTACTATATAGTTTTCCCCCTGCTCAGTGCTAGCGTATTTAATCTGCTTGAGCAAAATGACTACGAGCCGTATCCCATAGAGCACGCTATCGCGATTACCCAGCAGCTTTGTGAAGCGGTTACTTTTATGCACAAGATGAGGATTTGCCATACAGATCTTAAGCCGGAAAACATCATGTTTGTTTCGCCCGACTTCAACGAGATTTACAATGAGAAGCGCGGTCGGACAATACGTGTTGCACGAGATCCGAGTGTAAAGGTCATCGACTTTGGCTCTGCTGTCACTGAAGGCGAGAGGCACCCTACTACAATCCAAACCCGACACTATCGAGCGCCCGAGGTTGTTCTTGAGTGCGGGTGGTCGTATTCCGCCGATGTCTGGTCAATCGGGTGTATCCTGTACGAACTTGTAACTGGTCAATGCCTTTTCATGACTCATGATAATCTCGAACATCTGGCGATGATGGAACGCTTCCTCGGACCCCTTCCAAAGCACATGGTGCGGAGCAGCCGGAAACGGAGATATTTCAGGCGTGGTCGGCTTGATTGGGATGCCGACAGCGCCGACGGTCGCTACGTGCGTCGCCACGTCAAGCCTCTAGGTAATCTCTGGCTGTCAACAGATGATCTTACTACTAGACTTGCATTTGATCTTGTTAGAGAATTGCTAACTTATGACCCAGATGTTAGGATATCCTCTCGTGAGGCTCTCGAGCATCCCCTCTTCCAATAAGCCAGTCTTCTTGTACATAATTTATTTAGATTCCAAGTGCTTCTTTGAAAAAGGCCCTGGTCTTGTCAGTGAATTTGTTCAAGTCCATTCCAGCCAGTTTCCTCAGCAGACCCTGGCGCCTGCATTTTGTACATAAATAATTGCCAAAGATGACACTTTACCTATTGTTTTCCTTTGTTCCGTTTGTATGTGCGCTTACGTTCCCACATCCGATCTACAAATAAAGACCCTGACACGTAGTTGGAATCTTACAGCGGATGCGGTTGCGATTACCGCTTTCGGGACGCCAGCGCTTCTCGCTACATCCAAGGCGTAGTTAGTGCCGGTGACACCTGGTACGACTTCATGAAGAAATATCGGTCCCTTGCTATCACTAGAGACTCGTAATTTCTGACAGTTCGGGTATAGGAGTGGTTACCTTAAGGTTTATCCTACTTGTCATTGGTTCCAGTAGTGTCCTTGCCCAGTCCATGTTCAGTCCAGTCATGACGATATGGGGCGATTCTTTTCTACTCATGTAATCCAAAAGCCCCAGGAAAAGCGACTTTCGCGCGGTCTATAAAATAGCATAACGAGGTTTGTGGATGTGGGCTTAAGAGATGCATGGTGTCTTACCTTGTCGGCAAAGTATGGGAATTCGTCCAACAGCAGTAGGGATTTGGGAGTAGTGTGACGGAGAGCCATCGCGAGCCAACTTGCGTCGGACAGGGGCTCCAGCTCGTTCCGTCCCAAGTCTGCTGGTATGAGTGCAAGAATTGTGTCTAATTGTGAGATGGACGCAGAGTGGGCCGGAACGAAGCTTCCGATGTGAGCGAGAAAGACTATCAAGCCAATCTTGAATGCAAGAACTTTGTTGTTATGTACTGTCGGCCGCGGATCGGCATCAATCATTGCTAGTGGGTACCTGTTTTATGTACATGGTCTTTCCGCTCGCATTCGGTCCCGTGATCAGTGTTACGCTCCCATTCTCACCGGGCGAGGCAAATGAGTTAGTTCTGTAGTTGGGGTGAAGTGCCTCGTAAAGGATGTGTCTACCCCTTTTGATCCTTATTGAGTTACCCGGCACAATTCTGGGTCTGACGCCATTCATCTTTGAGGCTGCTGTCGCCAGCGCACAAAGGCTAGTGAAAGGAAGATGGTCTGTGAAGGTAGAGTAGGCCAGTAACTTGTAAGACGATATTTGGTGGGTAAGTACGTGTTGAGCATTGTGTTGGCCACCTTGATTGTCAAGAGCACGCAGAAACCTGGGGGTCTGGCTTTTGAAAGCTTAGGGCAATTCGACTTGAGGTGGGTCGTTTTAATCAAATGCTAGCAGGCGTTTTCTGTCTGGCTGTGTTCTTGTGGAGCCGTTTGTGGCTCCAAGGGGTCACACCTCGTAACTTGACAGGCATAGACAGCTACGTGCAATAGGTGAATCTATAGGTACTTTCAAACAGAAATAACTGAGAATTAACATCCAATAAGTCACCGGAATTGAGATTATTCCTGAAAGACAAGTGATTAATTGTTTTGCCTTGTGAATTCGAGAAAAGTGTAAGCTTGACTCACCAATCCAGTTCAGTAACATAGTCAAGTAACTGCAGGAGCGGCTTCGCCGATTTCAAAATTTCCTCCTGTAATTCATGCATGATTGACGTCTCAGCGTCTAAAAAGGCGGGGTGGTTTTAAACCACACGTGGTATTCTGACAGCGTGTGCACAGCCGTTGGTGTTGTGATGAACTTGCAATTTGTCAGTTGCCAAAATAATAACCGAGTTAGACTCTAGAACGCTCTAGGGTGCGCTAAGAATGTAACTTCACTGAGTTTTAGAGACCAACGGTATTCCCAAGAAATGCAGCTGAAGACACTACTTCGGTGAACCGTTATTTCACTTTGGGGTTGCAAAGACCAAAATTTCCCAACATATCTGCAACTAAGTTGTTAATGTCGGTTTACAGAAGAAACCATTTACCCAGTGTCTCGATTTTTTTATTTTTACTGGTAAAAGCAGCCGGTGGGGCGTGTGAGCGCGTTTTCTACGGCGTTGGCTTTTCAACGTCAGCTTACGCGAGTTTCCTTGGCTAAGGCTCACCTATATTAAAAGCTGTAGCTGTAGTCATCGCTTTGAGATTCTGGGTAGAAACCGAAGGAACTGTGTTCACGTTTTGTTGAAGTGTTTTTTGTACCTTTGGAAAGACCACACAGCAAGTTTTTGGTGCGTGTTTATGAAGGACGTGTCGGTGATGCTTTAAATGATTGACGTTGTCTTACTCAATTTTCATTCCTCTTTGGCATTTTTGGGACAAGGGTGAACAAGTGGTGTAAAGTATCCACATTTTATGGTGTGGTTATGTGCTAGCACTGTAACCGCACAATTGAGAAATACTTGACTGCAAATCGTTTGACTGTAAGATACGGCGTAGACAGTAGTTGGAGCCGCGTCGGTATCATTTAATGTTACCAGATGTGTACACAAAAAGGCGTACGTGGGTGGCCTATCATTGCATATGACCGAAGCCAAAACGAATTTGAATGAAGGTGTGTCGACATCTCCGGGGCATATTATTAAGCACAAAGTTTTGCAGGAAAAATTAAAACTTGCCAAAACGCACCCAGAATAGCGTACATGACGTCGCCATAACGCCTATCTAATTCTACAAACACGATTATACGATGTAAGTTCAGGCGATACCTTGAGTGGTTTCTGTACGGTAGTAAGTCAGGTCACCATTAGTGAACTAAAATTTAAAAAAAAAACATGAAATATACATGGTGGTAAATATTTACTTGCTGCCGGGCATCGGTGATTTAACCATGTGAAGCCCTTTCAATGTCTTTAAATAAGTATGCTTAACTCACAATATATTGTAAACCGAGTTGGTGCAGTTCTTCGGAGGCTTGAGAAGATGGAATTTGTAATAAGTAGCCGACCTAGAATACAGCATTGAAAAGACGATGCGGAAAATCGTGTGAATGGGAAAAAGTACAAACAATAATGATGCATCACTTATTACCAGCGATAACAGGTGAATTTAATGAACTTGCGAAGTTGATATTAATGAGGGAGCCTGCTATTTTAAATCTAAGGATGCCTGAACCTTCATGCCACCGGTAGGCAGTAAGTGCTTCTGTCAAAGGGCTTGTTTCGTACTTATAGTACACTTCGAAGGGAAATTAGATTAGATTGGAATGGAAAAGTAAACGTTTGTTTAAACATTCAGAGCATCACTCTGGTCGAGGCATAATTTGCCCAAAATACAAACTTTTGATACTATCTGATCTAGAGTTGCACTTCTGACCATACAAAGCCAATGCCGTCATTTCCATGGTGAGAAAAAGACCCAACATGGTTAAATTAACAGGTAGGCCACAGAGTGGTTGTTTGAAAATCCGCAAACTGACCAATGCCCTGGACAGTTTTGCTCAAGTAGCCAGCTGAGCTATTTCCTAGATAAAATGCGTATAAATTAGGAACGACGCATGTGGTCAGTATAAGCGCCGAAGTTATGCGAGGTTAAACATTGTGCAGTTTGTTTGCCTAGCTAGGGGGTCATTTTGGCGTTGCCTCGAGAGATAAAATATGAACAATTTCCGTAAAATGCTAATTATTAACCGTGAGTGCAAGAAAGCTGTACGAGAGCCCGGTTTGTGTCTCATCACACCTCGATTCAATTTATTAGATAACCAGTTTGTAGCAGAAGTATGAAAAATGACTTGAACTTTGATCTACGTTTAAACTTTAACACGGCAAACTACTGTGATATACTATCGTTGGAATCAGGTATCGATGTACTGCCAGGATTTCATGTAATTATTACTTATTGATTAATTGTTAATATCCTTTAAAGTGATTAATTTGACAATATAACATCATTGTCGTTACTGAAAGTGCAGAACACAGATTTACTCATTTTTTCGGATCTTGCTAAAGGATTGGCATTGTTTAATGAGGTCATTTCATTGATTACTAGGTTCACAAGTATTATAGCACAGCTGAGAACGAGAGCTAAAAAAAATATGGATAACACCAATGAAGATGGTAAATAATATCCAGCTGTAACACAAGATTGACAAGGCCCTACTTTCTCATTCAGAAGAGTTCTAACCTAACTACGCAGTGACTTCTGTCAGGGTGTTTTGTTATAAGAGCTAATAAATCACGACCTCTTTGGTTTTATTTTGCAGCTATGAATTGCTTTACCTAATGGGACGTTCGACTTTGCAGCACAACCTCCACGTAGAGTTGGCTGCACATGATTTCAATAGATAAAACTTGTACACACCTTAGTCCATCGTGAAATAAAGTTGAAAAGCACCAGCGACGCAGAGCTAGTTTTAAAAATGCGTAGTTCTTGCCCTTATTTGCATTTGTACATTACTGATGAATTTATTGCGTTTGTCAAAATTGTTTTTTCACTAATATTGATAATGGAAGTGACAAAACACAGGATTCATAAAATGTATTGACCTTAAACTGTAGATGTGGTGTGGTTGGGGAAATAATTCGGCAGAATTAACTGATACGGTGATTATCTGTTACGTTAAGTGCTTGCACAAAATCCTAGTCCTCAAGCAGAAGCCATGTCTGCGATCTGACCAAAGCCTAATGAATAGGCTGTTTTCAGAGAATGATTATTGTATGCTATGATAATTTTCAAGGTTTACGCGTGCTAAATGTTGCTACTGATATGTTTAAGTATACTCTCCCATTCTTTCAACAGAAATTTAGGGTCTGTATACCAGATTTCTCACTTGTGCATCACTCAAGTTATCATCAGAAAAAGAAAACTTTAATGGCCCTGTCCAGGAGATTCAACCGTTTTTAGTCAATGTCTTGAAGTAAGAAAGCTGGCAATAGCACATTCAAGCAGAACTTTTCAAATGCCAACGTAGAAGAAATTACATTCTCGCACGTTTTGGTAAAAAGTAAGCCATTTTCACAGATGTTGAAATTGCATTATAGGGTATTTCGTGCAAGCTGATAACATTTGTACTCTTTGCATGGTATTCTGAAACAGAAGCCAAGAGGCGATTAACTATTTAGACTCGCGAATTCTTTTCACCAACAACCTGAGAAATCAAATCCGGTTTTTACCTGGGAGTAGATATGCTACTGTCTTACTATCGCTGGACGGCACAGCATGAAAAAGACTTAACTAAACCAGCAATACTGCAGAAAGGCGAAGCTTGGCATGCCAGGCATAAAGTCTCAGATAATGTGGCTTTGATTGTTAACTAAAAGAGCTATAAATAACGACACAAGGAGACTCTAGGGGCAGTAATAATTTTCTGATTACCATACCAAAGGAAAGTAGATCAGACCACAGGCATCGACATAGCCTCGCAGCCGATTCAATTCGTGTTCCGCAAGTCGACTCAAAATATCGGGAAGACATCTGTAAATTTGTTTCCCTAGAAGGCGTGAAGGCCAGATAATTGTAGAAGAATAAAAATTTAGCCAATATCAAACGCAGCATTGCTCACACTCATCAAGCCATGATTGATACCCTTGTTTGACAATAAATCTTTTGTGGGAGGACGTGGAAGAGATGTCGATTGTGTCAACGATCTTTTCCAAGAGGGTAACGAGCACCTGTCTGGGAGAATCTACACCTTCCATGCTCCCGAAGGATGCATTTAACTCTGGATGGGGACGGCAAGCGTCTACGATCTCATTTACTGAGTGCATTGTTTGAAGGAGCATTTTCCATTCGTTTGGGGATGCGCCAGAGGTGTGCATTTTGGATAACACGCGCTGTTAAAACGAAAGTTAGAAAACTTAGGCCATTGTTTTTAACAAAACTGACACATCAAGGACGTAAATCAGTCACCTGAATGTTAGAAACCCGTTTGATAGAACGAACTAGCGACCCATGGAGACTCCGGTTTGCAGACGTAGACAGAAACTCCACAGCCTGCAGACGGCGCTGAAGTTCTTCATGGTCGCGCAAGGGAAGACGCAGCCATTTTGCTAAGCGACGGCTTCCAAGCGACGAGGAACAACTGTTTAAATAACCTACAGAGAGATAATAATAATAACGTTTGGGACGTTGCAGCAAATTACAGGACACTTACTACTAGCTCTGCCATTTTTTCATGCAGTAACGCTGCAGCGTTATTGTTGAGAACTTTGAGGGGATCAAAATGCGGGTTTCTTCTTAAATAGGAATCGTAACACACGCTAAGCAGAATTTTTTGGAATTTTGCAGCAAGAATTGGAAAATTATTGTTTATTACCAATTTAATAGTTGATACGATGAATTGTAAACTTGTTTACAGTGCGTTGTGAAGATGTTTTTAGTTAGTTGCCATTTGAACGTTATCTTTGAAGTGGATTTAAAACTAAAATCGCGGCATCCATGGATACCTTCTAGAACATTTGACATTTTGTGAAAAAAAAACATGCAAACTACTAAGTTAGTGCTTAAGTGAGGAGCGTCAAGTAGAATAAATTATGCCAATGCCAATTTTATGGCCCATTGACATGCTTTCGCTAGCAGTTTTAATTATTTTCCTTAAAATGGCCGATCAAAATATGAGATGCAAAACAAAACGTCAGCAGTTATATGCAGAGTTGGCAACACCGGAATTTGAACGCATTTGTGCTTGCATCTTTGCTTAAGGGCATTCATCTTATTGAAAAGAGCTATTGAGAAGTAAAAAAGGTGCACTTGAAGCGGAAAATACTAAACAAACATGAAAAATCACTTTTGTTTTAAGACTTTGAGCGACATCTTGATTAAGTAATATTTTTTCTGTGCAAAACTTTTTTTCACCTGCGTCCCCATTGGTGACTTTGGCACGATTATACCCCTAACCAAAAAAATGCATTCAATTGCATGTGGTAAACGAACAAGGGACTAGTAAAGTTGATATTAAAGCAAGTGACAAAACCTACCAAAGAGGGTAACATCTGAGGTGCACTGAGCAGCTTTCGCATTTCCACCATTCGACACTGGATCCTGAATGGAAGAATCAAATATCTGCAGTCGAACAAGAGTTGCGGAATCAATGTAGGTATAACTTTTTCTAAAAAAATGTAGTGCTGAAATAAAGAACATACCGCATATGAAGCTGTATATCAAGAATATTTACACAGTGCCGATTGGGGAAGTTTTCAACTGGTGACAACTGCTTGGCAAGATAATCTAAAAGTGCCCCAATGGCCCTAATCTACTAAATCAGTGATTTTAAAAAAATTACTGTTAGAGGAACATCATTAGGTAATAAAGACATTATAAAAGTCGCATTTTCTCCTTCGTCAACAAAAGCTGGTGCGTAAGGAAGCTTAATTAAGCCGACACGTTGCAAACAGGCGTCAAGATCTAAAACTGAATAAATAGAAATGGACCGACTAGTTGAGCTATTCGGTATTACGAAGGTTTTAGCTAAAAATACATATCAACAAAAAGGAAAATACAGTTATGATTGCTTATTACTTCCTCCAATTTTGCCAAAACAGTCTCGGTAGCTATAATAAGACTTGGGTTCACGTCCAAGATAACTAAAAGCTAAAGTTGAATTATTGGCTTACCAGATGAAATTTCTTTGGTGCTTTGAGTGGTTTGGAAATCCGGTACATATTTTAAAACTCCATTAAACGATGAAAATGCAATTCCACACACATCGCCTTGAATACATATAGTCATGAAAATCTAAGGATGTAAGGTTGTACCAATTTACCTCCTCTCTTTCAGTCTCATATTCAGATAATTCATCTGGTAAATAACTACACCTTACACCCGACTGCGCATCAAGTCCAGACATTCTCAAATCTGTAGAATAATATGTTGATCAATCACATAAAACAACTAATGTGAATTCCAGAAATCGTTATTAATTTTCGTCATGCATGCAAAAGCCATAAATATATATCCGTTAAAATGACAAATGTAATGGTTAGAATTTGTCGAATTAAAAGATAAATGGTTTTGAAAAAATTTAAAATGAAATGTTAAAAATTGTAAAAATTATTTTGCCGGAAAATGTTGCTTACGTGTAAATGATAGAAATTATATTTGCTCATTTTATACCGGATTCTTTTTTCGAGGCATTAAATAAAGCGAACCTAACGTTTCTAAAAGAGTAGGTTTGACAAGGTAAGCAATGAAAGTTTACGCAAAAAAGCAGGGAAATTAAAAAATTAATAAAGCTGTTAATTTTAAAATATTGAAGAATTTTGATTTAAATCATTACTAAAGAAACTTAGTGACTATAAGGCTGTGTAAAACTAGCAAATCTTATAGTAGGGTTAAATGTTGAAAGACAAGAGCAGAACAAGGTTTCGGGGAAATAGTCTTTAACTTAAAGCGCTGCCAAGTAATAAAACATCACAACTTGCGTCATAAAGCACAACGTGATTGTGTAAATGCTGGGAAAGTTTTTGTAAATGTCTGCCCTTATGTCAAAAGATAGTCAGTGGTTTAAGAGCAAAGCCTCAGTCGACTCTGCTAAAGGTAAATTCATGTTATTCAAAACTTTTTTAGAGACTTAGCAGGACATTTGTGGCTGCAGATGGCGAACCCATATCCAAACACTCCCTTATATAGTAAACTCAGTTATGTAAGATAGAACATCAATTTGTGGGCCAAATTTTAGTTGCGCAGCAGAGACGGATTTATTGACATAATGAAATCCTTTTTGCTACAAAAGGACACTTTAAGTCAATGCTTTATTCATTATAATGAATGCACAAAGAGTGAATCACATCTCATCATGCCTAGATTATTTTAAAAAAAATCGGAAATCTCCTAGACACCAGTTGTCTCAACTAAATTGCAAATATTTTCTGAATTGTAAAAAATAAATTATCGATGTCAAGGACTTTTCGGTCAAAGAGCAACTAATTTCTTTCATGCAGGGACTATTTGACATCCTACTACTAATCGCTTAATACTCCGTTTCACAGTAACCTTTTCACGCATCTTAGACGCGGACTTTAATTACAACTAATAGACGCCTATTTTCTATACACAGCTAAATTAGAAAAGGACAGTTTCATTGTCACGTGGTAAATATTGTTCTTAGATTCTGCTACATATTTGACATCATTTGACTAAACTACTGTTGACTCATGTAATTCATTAAGGCCCAATTAATTGTTATACACATGCCAAATATAGTAGATTCAAAAAACAACTTTTTGATAAAGCAAAGAAATAAAACTTTTGGAATTCAAATGTGGTGGTGGGGAAAGATGGAAAATAAATTGCCAAGACTCTACTGACTTTTTGAAGAGAAAATATGTGTATTAAAAGGCAATTTAGCTGCTTATTCAAAAATTAAACTTGGTAAGTGTTTACCCTGATCCACATGCTCTGCTAAACATTCCTACCATTCTTACACCTAATTATCGTTACAATATTCACCGTCATTTGATAAATAGCTAAAAATTTAATTTTGAACTGCCTGACTGCAGTCATATTTGACACAAATTATAAGTTACAATGACTGCCTGAATTAAACCATAGTCCCTTGATCTGACACCACTGTCGACATTTTCCCATAAAGTCAAAAATGCATTATGATTTTTATTGCCACAAAATTTTAGGCTGTGGTAATTTTTAAGTAGTCCACTGCTACACGTATAATGGATTTGTTTTTACGGCCCTTTTTTTGAAAGGACATAACTATGTGAACCACATTTAGGTAAGCTGAATAAAATCGAATTCGCCAACGCTTTCAAACAACGTTCGTTCACTGATGGTCGCACACCTTTTCAATAATGCAGTCCTACTTAATCCATAATGTCTTTGAATCAGGTTATTTCCCTCCATTTTTACCATGTAAACTTCGTAAGAAAATAATCCTCTGGACCTCTGTCTATCTTTACCTACTGGAAGGTTGAGGGCTGTTGGACTAAACATTCGTCCGTCTCGTTTTAATCCTCGATTTCTTCTAGCCAAACATCATTAAACAAGATAAACCTGGAAACAATGCACATGGAATTTCGAGTTAATTAACAGATTTGTTACAATAGATTTCGGTGTAAAAACCCATTAATCACTCATAGCTGAAAACACAACCTGTTGTTTTCTACTGTGCTTTGTGGTTTCTTACTGTACAATATATTAGACATGAAAATTTCACTATGCTACTTGTTATTAAAAATACAAAATAGCTGTGACAGCAAAGCCACTGCTAACTACCAAACTGTTTCAACGCTTAATCTTATTTTAAAAATGTACTTGTTTTGCAGACTTAAATAGAAAGTTCATGTTCTTATTTCCATAGGAGTTAAACCTGTCAGGACTGATGTTCACTTTAACGTTAATGTCGGAAATTATCATTTCTAACAAAAATTTAATACTCCAACAACAGATACGCATTTATTAAGAGATTTAAGGTAGTCAGATTTATTTAAAAAATGCTGTGGTTGCCACTGATTTTCGTTTCGTTTAAAATATTGAAACCTTGCCTTGAAAACCATTAGCCCTTTTTATTACCAATCGTAGCACAAATAGGTAGGATATCTATTATTGCCTTTTGTCTTCATTTCACTAACATTGTAGAGCAGTTATTTCCCTTCTAGTTATGGCATTTGGTCTACGCTAAACAAACAATAGTTTACCTCTCGGAATAAACGTGCATGACAGTAACTTTTCCTATTCTTCTGCTGTAATTTTTGTAATTGCAACAGTCATGTTTATACATACTCTAACACCAAATGCAGACTTTCGAGTTTAGATATATTATTTGAGCTAAGGCAATAAGTAAGCAAGTACATCTGAACAAAGCGATCACTGTATTCATGACTGTATTCACACTTGAAAAACTCATTAGTCACTTGGTGAATATGCGTGATATTTCTGGCAGCGTTGAAAATGGGAAGGCAGTCAACAACGGCTCTAAAAACAAGGTAAAAACATCCTCTAAACTACGAGAGAAAGCTGTTAAGTTTATTTAAAGAAGTAAAACTGAGTATTAAAACAAGACACTAAATATGATTGCGTTTTCAACAAAGGCAGACCGCAACTCCCGCAAAACAGTGAAGTTAATGGTAAAATTTTAGATTTATTTTGAGATTTCACTTTCTGTATTCGCGACAAACACGAGCTAATTTCTGGGAGAAATGTGGCCACTACAATGCCCTCTTACGCACATAGGTGTTTACATGCTTATCTTCAAACCTCAGATTTTATTTTTCCTTGCAGCCTTTTAATCCATGCACAAGAGCAGTTTTTATATTTACATTGAAGTGGCATACTGGCCATTGCTACCTTTGGCCGTTCTGAATATATTCTTCGGTTACCAATTAATTTCTTTATCTATTTGACAGTGGTTCTCTAAGGCTTTTCGTCTTCTAATGTCGTTAACCACAAAAAGATCTAGTGTTTCATGAAATTCCAACCAGACATACTTGTGTTTTTCTGTTTTAAAGCTAATAACAACGAAGTAAAGCTAAATTCCAATTAGAAGAATGCATATTTATGAAATCTAGAATGTATTATGTTTTAAACAATTTACACTGAACGCGCATTTTCAGTTGGGAGTTTTTCTCTATTTCTTATCGTTTAGATGGCGTACTCTGTGTTTGGTATCGAACTGGTTATCTTTCCTGCATTGGTGTTATATTTATCATATTACTTTGGACAGTGGCGAACGCAACCAATTTTCTGCACAATTTCATATACGATTGGGTGGCTAATTCCCGTATTGTTTGTTGGTGTACTTCCAATTGACGTGGCATCTGTGCGTTTGGTCTAAAGTTTCTTTGATTTAGCTAGACATTTGTCTATCGAACCCTATCACTAAACTTTACTGCACCAAATGTGACACATATTCCTACATTTGTGGACATGTATACGCTTGGAATTTTCTGGCATATATTTTACTGGATGTCACAGTTACTTACATGGTATGAGTTGCTTCGTCCAATTTGACGTGTAGGTTTGTTCTTCCAATAATGGAATCATATGCTGGATCTGGGGAGTTCACAGTTTTGCGGAAGTTGCGGTCTGCCTTTATTGATAACGCAATCATATATGGCTCGTACCTTGTGCTATTTATTTGCGTGATGGTATACCTGCTTGTTAAAAGGGCAATTTCTTTTGATGCGTACGTTTTTGTGATTTTTTGTTGCTTTTTCATATTTTGCTATCAAATTTAAAAAGCACCTGGGCAATATTTAGTCAGCAGGCCTCCTAGTTGCACATCTTGCCCGTTAGCACTTATGTACTTGTGACTTAGTATTAGATAATATTCAGTACGTTGGTGTGAGATAAAAGAATCTGATGGGTGACCTGGATGATTATATCACTACAGTTCCCCCTATTCTAGTTGTTGGGGAAATTTCCCTGATCTGCACCATCAACCGAGTATTTTGCAGGCGCTGGTGCCAACAAATTAATAAATCGGACGACTAGTCACTCTTCCAATATCTACCTGTAGTTTTCGTGAAATGGTATTAGCGCTGTTCTTTTCTGACAAATAATAACCGTTCTAATTCGTTTGTTTTTTCCATTTGTTGTTACCAATTCAGTACAAAGTATTTTAATAGTATGGTTCAAACTATTTTAATATATCTATCCTAGATCATCACTGAAAGTTTTATTAATCACTACGAGCAATACCTGGGGTCTGTTCTTGGTCATTCTATTTCTCGGATATGGCCTCGTGGAGGTTCCCAGGGCAGTTCTACGCGCCGCATCTCCGATTAGCCGACTTCGGTTTTTATACTTTAACCTCAGCAAACGTTACCTTGAATACATTGAAGACGAAGAAGAGCTCAAAATAGTTCTGTCGGTAAGTTTTCTTTTTCAAACCCTAATGTCACATGTGAATCAAAGCGCAGTAGCCGTAACTTCGACTTCATTTTAGTTCTATCATTCTCAAAAACATCGCATTAAAACCGAAGCCTTCTCTCATTTTTATGATTTCGAAAGTCCGAAAGTTCTATTGTAATCATACTACTTATTCACACTTGCCTAAATGCAGCGTAAATCAACACAAATCTTGAAAAAGTTTATTTAAATTAATTTTAGTGAGGGAGTGGTTTTCAAAATGGAAAAGGAAATGTCTCATTTTCGTCTAGTTATATTATGTGACTTTACAAGAGGACCGGGTGTTCTTACTGCAGCAAAAATGTTTAACATGTTTGGTTGGTTCGTGCTCCTGGTCTTAGGACACTTAAAACATAGCCTAGTCGTTCTCTGAATTGCAACTTCAGTCTAAACAACAAACCTCGCATTGATAATAACTCGGTTCATGATTTAGGGCATAATAACCCACAGGACCAACACACAGGTTCCGCACTTTTCGACATTCATTTATCTCCTCATCTTCTAACACTATCAACGTCTTGAAGACAAAGTCATAACTGGAGATGAAAGTACCTTGTGTTTTGCGTTTTAATGAAAAACGGAATCAGGAAGACAAATGTCTTGTTAAGTGTTCGATGGGAGTATTGCAGATGAATCATTTCTTGAGCTTCTTCTATGGTGTCAAGCAAAAACAGCGGAGAAATGCTGTAATCAACTCGTCAAATTCAGTGCTAGAATCCAGTCAGCGTGTACAACTTTGGCTAATCGGAAGGGTATCATCCGTCACCACGACAACAATAGACCACACGCTGTATTCCCCTGATCTTCTCCCCTTCCAATTTTTATCTTTTTCTCGGTAAATCAATGACCACCTTAGAATTTTTAAATGGAAACCACAATATCTGAAACGAACGAATTAATGAACAATTGTAAGAGGTTACACTACTGTTATAAGAATTAATGTGGAGTACATTATTGATTAATGTGTGCTATTTTTCAAGCCGCGCACGAACGTTTTCAGTCACCTTTCCTTTTCCTTTGTTTACTTTAATACCGCATTTAACGTTTTGCTTTTACATCATTGAGGAATTGACCTGATGCCTCCACTCAAAAGTGCCAGGAAATCACCAAATCACGTTTTTTGACATTTTTAAGAAATGATGTCACGATTGGTTCTGAAGTTTGTCCTCTCGTTAACCTCCAATTGATCCTTACTTTTGAGCTTATTGTTTCTGAAATGCATAAAGTGCATGGACAAGGGTCATGCGATCTTAATGCACATAATCGGTATTTATGCAAAACTTCAAAGGTTTTTCAGAGGGCTGAGTTAACTTATGATCAATTTTAAAACTTTTTACTTTCAAAGTCTTCGTTTCTTCGTGCTGCATCGAGCTCTCTTCATGGCTTTATTAGCTGCTTCTTTATTTCAGTGGGTGATCATAATCAAGTAATTTTAACAGTTAACGTTCGGACCCGTCGAACGGTGCACACCAACAGTCCCGAATAGTAATTATTTAGCCCGCTAAAATGGCCATGAACCATTTCCAGAAAAAAATTGCACATGTTAACCTTCTAAGGTATTTAAGCTCTTGACCAAAAGTAGCCTGGTAGTTAAGTCAATTTGACTTTGGTTTGTCGTCTAGAGGATGATCCAATCCGCAAAATCGCCGTTACTTTTTGCAAAGTGCTGCTTGATTTCATGAATATAAGTAATGCCCTTTCAAGGCTGCAGTTAAAATGACCTCGTACTTGATGCGTTCTTTGTAGGTGCGTTTTAAAACTGCATATTAAAAGTAATAGTCTTCATCCCTGCTCCTTGTCCCCAAAAGATACCTAGCTGTGAAGCAACTGAACTTTGGCGAATTCAAGCAGGAACACCACACACTCCCAGGGCACTTGTTTGGGTGATTTTAGCTTATCGAGCTACGCTGGAGGTTCGGTTCTCAGACGACCGTTGTGCCAGGCGTTCGCTTCTCTGAAGCACCGCGTCGCTCAAACAGAAGCAGACATTTCATTAATTTGAACTTTTCTTGAACTGAATCATTCTAAAGTTGTTTGTTGGTCCATCCTATTACTACGAATAGTACCTGCAAGCGTTATGCTCTGTCGACCTTTGTACTTGCAGATCATATTTACTAATCTTGGAAATGCACAGTGGCTTTTTGCGCATTTCAGATGCACGAGTCTGGTTTGAATGGTTAGTAGTAATAAGACTCTGTCTTGCCTAAGGCCCTAGCATACAAGGAGGGTAAAGTGCGTACAAACAACTTGACCACCAGACCTGGCGCTTTAAGATATTTGTCTACGTTGGCATTGCAAGTAACCAGACACATATCTTTTGTGTGCATGTTTTGAAAAAAGTGAGGTAGTAGTTTTTATAGGAAACACTGAGAATCACCACTCACTCATTTGGCACTGCGTTTAGTTGTGGAATTCGCACCCTTCTCCATACCATAAATTCTAGGTAACTTTTTTTATCGCAGGAAATTCATAGTTTGGACCGCCAAGTGCCTCTCGAGCACCCCCTCAGGCCTCAATTGAATGTGATTGTTTCAAAAGTACGTTGCTCACCTTTCATGTACTTTTCAAGGTTGCTCTTTTACTCGCTATTACTAACAGGACGCTGAAGTAGAATACTTTTCTGCCAATGACTTTGCTGCCATGGCTACCCTAGCCAACAAGTCAGATTTTAGTATTAAAATTGCTGTAGTGACGGAAATGCATCTTGCTAAGCACAAGATGGCTGGCTACTATTACAACGTCAAAAAAACCAAAATATAGGCCGTTTCTTTCTCAATCTGGGTGCGATTTAAGATTCCCGTCGGTCCGAACATCCCGTCGATTTCTTTCCATAATCTTATCAACTGATTACAACCTATGTTGGCCCTGAACGCGGGAGATAAGAGGGTGTCAACACGTGGCAAATCGATTTCGACTCCCTATCGCGCATTATTTGTTCCCCTTTACTGTCCCTAGGCTTCAGAAATTGGCGATGCGGATAAACTCCAGACATCGAGTGCCCGGAGCGGGGTCGATTCTCGCACGTCCAGTCCCGCCGCACCAACTCTGCAGCGCCTGGTGAAGGTGCACAAACGCCTGAAGAAGGCCCACCACCACTGCAGTCGGGCACGCGCTCTCTGGCTCGAGGCTGTGCAGCAAGCCGCGTCAGCCGAGGATGTCTGCAACAATTGTACGGCTGGCGGGTACAGGTCTTTTTTCTCATTTCTTGGCCAGTAGTGCTCGTCCCAATAAATCGCTCTCGTGAATATCAAAATCACAATACGCCATTGCCTCTTCTTTCTTAGTACTTAGGAGGCCTTCTTGGCATCTCTGGTAATTTGAAGGAATCTTTGTCTAGCCAACGTTAGGATTAGTCTCTGGAATAGGTGTCCCACTATTATTCAGGGGGAGCTGGGTTAGTTATAACCTGTCTACACACCCTCGACTGATTGTTTTAAAACGTACTACATGTTTTGCATTTAGCCCACGCGTGTTTGAACGAGGCCCCGCGCCAGCTGTTCTACGCAACACGGGTCTGGAGGCCAAACAGGCGTCCATGATGCAACGCTTGATAGGCGCGAAAGCACTCACCGTCGAGTGGTACTGGAGGTGTCTTCTGTGGCCCCTTCTCCTCCGAGGCCTGGGTGTACTCCTGGCTGCGGTCTCCCTCCTGGTCATTTGGAGTGAGTGCACGTTTTTCGTCCAACATCCTAGATTATCGGTCATCGCGGCCATTCTGCATAGCCAGTCGACTTCGTACAACCTCATAGCAGTAAGTACTTGTGTTTGTCCGACGGGTTAGGATTTGTAATTGGCCTCTACACACGGTTGGTTAGGATGTCATTAATCAAGGCTTCTCAACTGAATCGATTATAAAGTGTCTTCCTTGGACAATGGATTAAAATACTCTACTCTGGGTCCCTTGCCGTCACGAGGGATCTTCGAGGCATTCGTTCAAAAGTTGATTCATGGTCAAGATACCTTGTGTGCTTTTGGCACTTGAGGAGCCTTTAGTCGGACATTTTCCTTCATTTATTATACTTGAAGGTCTGGTGATCCTCATTCCAACTTAGAGAAATATAAGGCGTGCCGGATATCTCGCGTTCTTTACTGACCCCATGAAGTTTGTTGAAACACAATAAATGGTTCACCAAGTGTTCTGCTCACTAAATTTTTAAAATTGGTGCATACTTTAGTCGACCTTTGCGTGTCATCCAGTGGCGACCGAAAAGCTTTGCTTATGCGATTTGCTTGATGCCCAAAATCCGCTTCTAGAAAGTCAAACAATTTCAGAAACCTAAATGCCTCGCTTTACTTCATCAAATCTTCGACTCTAGTCTGTTACATCCTTCAGTTTTGCAGCTTTTTATCACTCGGGTATCTCGGATTTTGTGTTTACTTCACGGCATACCGCTTGAGGTTCTTCAACTACTACCGCCTCGTCCCTAATCATCACTCAGACGCCATCAGCCTCATCTTCTATGGATAGTAAGTCAGCCCTCATGATGTTTTAAGCCTGTATACTTTCCAGCATTATGTAGCTGTGATAATATTAATCGCATTAAAGCCATTTCCGTTTGTTGAGAGTTAAAATATGCCAATCATGATTTGCCACTTTTTCCTTACCCCAAATGCCTTTTCTTTCAGTATGCTCTGTCGTGTGACACCCTCGTTGTGTCTGAACTTCCTGTGTCTGGCCCACCTAGATAGTCACGTGCTGCCATCTCCCGGCGTCCCCCAAACTAATGTGACCTCCACCAATGAAACTTCCGCCAACGTTACTGCCGCGTCCGTCTACTACGAAACAGCTTTCACTAAGTTCATGGGCCACCTGGACGTGGTATCGTTCATAGCCGATGGTTTCAACATCTACTTCCCAATCACCGTGGTCATCCTCTGCCTCTTCACCTTCTTCAGTCTGGGCAGACGAATCTTGGCCTGCATTGGGGTGCCTCAGCTGATTGACGTCAACTTCACTGAAAAGCACCTTGCAGCTGGTGAGAGCAGCGCAGTTGGCGACGCCATCGAAGACGGCAGGATGCTCCTTTACAGAGGTACGGCAGTATCACCGGAGGACAAGGCCTCGATTTTAATGTGTGCTCTTTCCTACGTAGTTCAGTACCTACATTTTCTTATCAGTAGTCTTTATAGGTTTAAAAACAGCCCAATCAACTTTCCTAATCCTAACATTTGAGGTTCGCACAAGGCTTGACTATATTGCGTCCTAATGTTTAATCCAATTCTTTGTTTTACTCTGGTCTCAACGATGACGTACAGAATAGGCGTGATGTTTATCTTAGGATCGCAGATATATTTACTACCGGTAAACCTTCCGGAGTTAGATTTAAAAGTTCCACAAAAAAGAAGTTGGGTGTTCATCCCACAAATTTAGACCAAGGGAACACGATCATCTAACTCCGTACTCCCTTCAAGAAAAGTATGTGGACACCTTAGGATTCCTTGACCCTCATTTCTTAAATACTTTTCCATTTTTGACTAACGTTGGACAGTTCTAATAAGTGAAATGACCACTCTTTTGCTTTTTCACTGTTATCTATAAACAGAGCGGACCCTGGGTAGAACTCGTCGCTTTGCTGGTGGAATTGACAAGGCAGACGTCCGCGATCGTCAAAAAATGGTTGGAAAGCTGTCCAAGTCTGGTGCGCCCTATACTAACGCCGGCTTCGAAGTAGAAGGTTTGTAAAAATCCAGACCGAGCTATACCTAATGTTAATGAATAACCAGCCTTCTGTAGTTGCATTTTGTGTTTGCGCCTGCATTATGCCATCGAATTGTTTTCTGCAGTGCCAAGAACACGGTAAGTATTGCTTATAAAATAAGGAACTCGGCGATGCCTTTGAGTTAAATGTCATTTTCATGGATATTTGTCACAAAATGTGAAATATAATCGAAGGAGAACAGTAAGCGACGACAAAGCAATGTTTAGTGACTTTCAATTGCATGCCTTAACATCCGTTAACTGCTATATCCGCCCAGTTCCACGGGAATTTGTCGTGCCTATTTTTTCCAAGGTGAACAATCAAGAAAAATTATCTTGACTTCATCTGTCAAGCCTCTAGTAGCAGACAAAAGGTTTCTTTACGCCCAACCTTACCGATATGTCCAGCGAGTCTTTCGAGATATTCAACTAAGACCCGCTGACTGGGGGTTTCAGTTAAATCCTTGTAACCTGTTAAATCTGCAACTTAACACTACCACATACATCTTGCACGCCTGTTATGGCCTCAATTATGACCTATCAAGGAATACAGAAACACAAGTTGATCCCGTTCCGGTTTTAAATGCGAACGTAATACTATTGGACCAGACTTTGGTGGAGCATTGCTTTCGAAAGAAGCGATGTAACTGCTGAAGTCTCAAAGCTTTTGTTGGCTTGGCTTTGTGTAGGCTTGACATGAGCTTCTGGGAATACAGCTCAATCTGTTTTATTCTGCAGCCCAGAGTGAATCAGAACTCGACCAGGCCTTCAGTCCCAATCAACCGATTGTTGAATTTTCTGAAGAGAAATTGAACGCCATGTTTCAACCTAACTTGCCAGCTTCCACAAGAGTGTCGGACACCGGCTTCAACTCGGGGGGTCAGTACGCGTCCCTAGAGGGTGAAAGCCGGCCACTCCTATCAAAGGTGGTCTCTTCGCTTCAACGTATGTTCGTACCACGGTGATCGTCCCTGAAGGCGGTGCCAGAAAACCTACCTGTCATTGTGTGTTGTCAAGTCTTTCTGCCTTGTTCTGCTTCTTTTAACTTGGTTACCTTTATCTCATGCCATTATTTTGTTTCTTGTCCTGTTTTAATCATGCAAGACTTAATAGTAAACGTATTTCGACCATTGTCTTCATTTGAGCCCTAGTCTAAAGGCGTTCCACACTTGGTTCGACGACGTCTTTTTAACAAAATCACCTTTGTCAACAGTTCTGATTGGTAACTAGTTAAAACGGATTTTTGCGTAATTAAAAACAAAGCAACAGTAAAGTAGTTTGCGGTAATAATTTTGCTGAAGATTTTTGGTCGAAATCGATGAAAAACCATTCCCTGAGGTGGGCGGCTGTATCAATCCACACCCGCAGCTCCTGATAAGACGGTGCTTAGGGGCATGGTGCAGTAGAGCAATCCCTGGATAAACAGTACTATGCTAACCACACATGGCCCTGAAAGGCAAGGGAATAAATTGCGTGTCTTCCACTGTCACTGATTAGCCGAAGGTTAAGCTGTTCACTTTTGGTATTTGCCAGATTTGTTTTCGCCCATTTTGTCTAGTGCTTATCTGCGCTACTATCCTTTTTACGAGTTTGTAGGTGGTAAAGCCTGCATTGGCGAGTGTACAGCAACTGATAAAGCTCCCGACTTCAGGAATATTCAAAAGATAGATAATGGTAGCACGGGCAGTTGCTGCAAAACGGCAAAAGTGGGACATCATGCTTTCACCAAAGTCGGTGGTTTTAGCCTCGTTCAAGGATCTACGTATGCTGGGACACTAGGTCGTCGTGTTTTTATAACTACATGTGTTTGTAGATTCAAATTGGACCATGGGTGGCTAATGCAATGGGATGTTGTAGTGGTGATCGTGTAAATGTCTTTCTACTCATTGAAAGAACAACGCTTTCTTAGACATTACCTGCAGTTATGCAGTAAATGCCGCCATTGTACTCACGATACGCATAGGATCCAAACTGAAAAAAATTTTTGAAACAATTACACAACAGTACCTTGAGTAGCACCAGTTTTCCCAAAAAACCCAGATTGCTGTCAACTTACAATCTTACGTACCGAGTTATTAAGATTTCATGAAAAGAACAGGCATCGCAAAGACGCGAACTATGAAAAAGACGCTTGCAAGCATTAGAATATTCGAACCAGTTCAGTGTGGGTCAATTTTCGATCCGTGCGAAGGTAATCCGTAATTTATTAGAGGCAAATACATCCAATAGAATTGTATTGTGCGTGACTCTCTTCTAAATTGCCGGAGAGTAGCGGCTTGGGCTAATCACTATATGCTACAGATACGCAGACAATTCTAAATACGAGTGCAAATGGTCCTCTGTAGGCTATTGTAATTTGAGAAAGGGTAACTTATAGAGTATTGGACGTACGGTAATGGAGGCAGAGATGATGAGTAAGAAGAGGGCATGAAAGATATACCGTCTGGTCATACTGCGAGGGAATCGGGGGCTCATAGCAGTGATGCTTTCGCACTTGGGACAGCGGATTTCCCCTGACAGATCCGACGACGGGCTGGCTTTAAAGGCTTGTTTGCAGGAGCCGCAACTGATGACAACTGTTCGCCAGTCTAGTGAAAACAAATGATGGGTAGTCTTCGGGAATGCACCATCAGCGCAATTTGACAGAGCCGTAAATGAAAGTCCTCAAATAAACGCTTTTGGGCCCACTGACACAAAGCCCCCAGCAATTGTTCCTATAGTTAACTTTTTTAAAAGACTCGACAGTACCAAGCATCGGTAGCTATTTCTAGTGAGAAGGCACTGAAACTAAAGGCACTAAAGCATGATCACACTCCTGCGTGTATGTGCTCAAATTGAATGCATTGCATTGTGTGGAGTGCAACGGTCGTAAAGCCTCGATGCGCAGACACACTCTCAAAGAAGTTTCCTACAGTGAGCTTTGGTTGTGGATTTTGGAAAGGGTCTGTGGCGAACAAAGATAAAAGTGTCCAATTGAGTACTTGCAATCTTTAGAAGGTCAGGCGATGCGGCTTGTGGAATGGCAGCGTGAGTCTGAAGGAAGTCTATCAAGAAACACACCTTACTAATCGGTGAAATTTCAGTTATTTTTGAAAAGTTATAATACCACATATAATATAATGTTCAGAATAATCCAAAATAGAAATTATACGCTACCTTTTTTCGTTCCAGTGTTTTTTATAACCAATGAATATTTAAAAAACGATAAGCTTAAATTTATTTGAAAACGCATCGCACTTATTGAGTGATGCCTTATCCTTGTTGCATCCGTTGCGTCTTCTAATATATAGGCCGATTACCGAAATTAAAGTTAAGTAAGAGAGTGACTAGGGAACTCTGCTATGTACCTTGATAATTCTTGCTTTGATAGATGTAATACGCTTCTTCCTTAGATTTATTTCCGACTTGCAAGGATTTTACAGTAACGTGCACGTTGATGACAACTCCAAGCGTGAGCAGTTCCGCTACGATCTTTCAACATACTGAAGAAGTTTTCGTAGAATTTACTGGTTTTGGGCTCCAGTTATAACTGAGGGCTCTAATAAAATTATATTATTTCTGTGTAAAGTTTTCAAACTTGCCCTCTTAAGTAGAACGGCTACTTGGTAATCGGATGGTAGTCTGTCTGAGCGCACAAGGCAATGGAGATGACAAGTACTGGTCGAATTACTCGTGCATTGCTTCATCGGGAAAATTCCTATTTGGCAATAGGAAGATGTAAAACAGCATTTGCATAATGCCGTCCTGGAGTTTTGAGGAATATCTGACATCGAGTCACTTTTATGAGGACATAGCTCCGAAACAAGTCTATGAGACTACTTTTCACACAGCTCTATTTTACCCCCTTTTAGTGTAGAATTGACGATAAGTTCATCCAACCTAATACTTTGACTTATAAATTCAATACTGCTACATCAATTCTGTGAGGAACTTTCTGGAAACCAATAGCAACGTGTTTTGCAACTGTATCATGGATTTAGATCGGCAACGATTCATGTATTTAATTTTGTTTGATGCATTAAAATAAAAACGCATTACCTTTGTTTTCAGCTAAGTTTCTAGGAACCGTAAATGAGAGATCTGGGTGACTGGTGTGGCGTCTTATTCCCTTAAAATGCTCATCGAAGAAATCAACGATCAGTTTAGGATGCATGCTTGCGAACACAGTCACAAGTACAGTTCGACACGTAGGGCGAGGGCAAGTGAAAATATTTTGGTGCCGCGGTACGAGCAAAAGGCAAGAGCAGTGGCATCGATAGAACCTTTTGTCGGTTGAAGGAATTCGTATTGGCTAGGAGCAAAATTTAGCTTTAGTTAATTAGAAACGGGTTGGTTAATCTGCCCATCACGATGGGAATATAACAATCATGGAATAGTTTTCGAAAATCATCTAGTTATCATTAGTCCCAAAGGTTCTTTTTTAATCAAAAAGCCTGGACCCAGCCAATTCGTATGTTTTCATATTTCACAAAAACGCCGGCGTTAGTTAAGCATAAACATTAGCTTCCTGAACGGACGTACCAACCTGCCAAAATCTCTGCCTAATCCTGAAAATTTATTCTATATAATAGCCCGTATTTTTCTTCCGTGTTTGTAATATAACAAATCTGATCACAATATGCTCTATAAAACCACTACAGTGGCCGAATGACTGTTGTAATTACCAGGGCCGATTTTTGTGGTCTGAGTGAAAATCAGTACCTCTCGAGCTTATTCCGATTAGTGCCCAACAAATTGTTTGACAAAATCCATTGCCTAACAGACCAGTTGTTCACTCAAAAATGAGAGGAAATACAGGGCAATTGGAGGAGAATTTGACAGAACTAAAAAGATGGAAGAGTTGAGGCAAATTCAGATTTATGTGAATTAAGCAACTGATTATCTGATAAATGGTCCCAGTTTCTGGAATTGAAAACCATTCAGACTTGTTGAAGCTAAAACATTTAGATAACAAAATCAATTTTTTACAAATATAACACACCAAAAAGGTAACCTTAATATATTTCGCACAAAAACTGTATTTTAATGTCTGGACCTTTCACAAATCACAAGTACTTGCAGTGAATTCGTTTTTTAAACATAGTTATAAGATCAATTATATAAAATTCAAGACAATGGTTAAAGCTTATAAATTTACTGTAGCTTCAAAGCATCTAGAGCAGACGACAGCCAGACGGGAATGATTCGAGCGAACGGACAGGAGAAGCTTGCATACTTGACAATGAAAAAACTCAAACTTGGGTGAGTGTGCCCGAGACTGTTCAACCACGCAGGGTTTCACAATAACGTAGGTAAAATCAGACAACTCCCTACCTGGTAGTCCGCCTTCTATTTTACTCAAGGAGGGATAACTGTTTCTTCGAATCATCTGTCTGGAATCAACGCACATGAATGTCAAGCAGTTATTTGAAATAGTAAAAACCAATATTAAGAACCTCATGGCATTTTTTCGAAGTGTCGATTAAAGATTATTACAAAACGTAAATTAGATCAAACCCCAAACAGTGTAGAAAAAACTGGGGGCCTACGATCGATTGTTAAATGGTCTATAAAGTATGCAGAGAAGATTTAATAGGGCGAAAACGTTATGTGAATATGCAAATCGCTGTAAATTGCCACTTATGAGATCACCACGACTGAGACTCCTTGCTTATTAAAGCAAAAATATACCAAAGAAGAAAATTGCAAACTATGAAGTAAAACTCAAGAGCTCAGACTAAAAAACCGCTTATTCATCTAGATTAAACATGGACAGTCGTAATGTGGTGCGATCCTCAGATACCACTGTTATTTGTCACACATTTCTAAAGGTAAAAGGATTTTACAACAAATCCACAGACTTAGCTTGATCAAAGAAAAGTCTTTGCACATTACTTATTTTTCTGAATGTTTGCAGACAAAATACAATCAAAAATCAAAAAAAAATAACGATCCCATAACTCAGCTGACATTCTCAAACCCTACA